CAAAAGAAACATTACCTTTTTTGTGAAATGTTTGAATTTACAACCTTTTATTTAGTTTCAATTAACAGGTGGATATGTGGAACTATCTCATTACTTTTTCATAGACTTTTCATTATCTTTAAAATAAATAATAAAGAAATATGTGTTTTCTTGTATCCAATTTAAACTTAATTAAAGAATATTTAAACTTATGCTTAAGAGTTATTCTAGTGATCAGATTATTATTGTAGTTTCGACTATAAATTCACTTTTAGTAAAAAAATCAGCATTTATCTCTAAAAACAATATTTCATGGGAATATTGTAATGCATATCTTATTTAAGGGAAATGCAGGTTTGGGGGGTAATGTAGTTTACTTGTCCGTACTCATCGAAAAAGTAACTTCAGGGGGTTTAAAATAAACTTTGATCTACAATAATACATGTGAAAGAAATCAATAATATATAAATTATATCTGAATAGACGGTCTGAATCATTTTCAATGAACGTTAGGAAAAATTTCGAAATTGTTATACATGCAGAAACATGAAAAAATCAACTTCTTGGACCGATAAAGGAAATGTAAATATTTTTGTACAGTGTGGACTGTTAGATCTTGCTGCATTACATAAATTATGAAGAAATACACTTCATGTATGGCTTTCTAGGACTAACTACGGCGTATTTAGTTTTATTCTTACCCAATACATAAAGAAATGGATAATCAGAGTGATTTATAAAACAGAAAAAAGAAATATTTTTTTTCTTAATAGTCCATTAATTTATTTTCTTGCCACTTTAAACAATTTTGGAAAATACTGTTAGAAAATCTTCTGTTTTTTTATCCTTTCCTTATGATATATGTTCGATTCATTCTTAGAAGTTTTGGTTTAGAACAATAATAATGAAAGGACCTAAGACATCCACTTAAGTATAGAAAATACAGTATATTATTACTGCGTTAATATATTGATGTATTTATTTATTTAATTTGACAACATATTACCATCAAATGCACACTAGTTCTGGAACCCTATGCAAAAATCAGAAAGCTTAATATAATATAAAATTTATGTCAACACTACAATTTATCTGTAAATAAGAAAATAGTTGCAGGTCATTGCTGTTAAACGTTTATATATCTGATATTCTTACATTACTAATCAAAAAATTATCTAAGTATATAGTTATCTACTACAACTTTTATCAAAGTTTTTTAATACAAAATTATCATTAAATCAATTTGAATAAACTGTCTTTGAATTAAAGATTCACTAAAAATTAAGATTTATTTACATACACAATCATATAAATAAAATAATTATTGCTATTTTAGTCATAATTTCGAAACAATGTATTGAAATACATTCACATATTGTACTTATGTGAATTAGTTGTCAGTTAGGATAAAGATACTAACCAAGAAACTAACCAAGATACAAACCATTTTTCTTTGTGCATTTTTTTGATTCCTTCTGCTGTATTACCCGACGGTATATTTGCAGTATTATAAATTGAAATTTTTTTAACTTTTTAATAGCTAAAATATTACAATCTTATGAACAAATTAATAGCAAGCCTTCATTTCTGAAATAAGTGGTACATATCTAAAGACATTAGGTATAATAAGAGAATAAGTATATGAAATACCCAAGCATAAAAACCAAAATACTTAAAAAGTTATTTTAACATTTATACCGTAGATAGGTGTCCAAAATGAAGTGCAACCAACTTTAAACTGATTTAACTTTCGAACTGATAACAACCCAGCAACTATTTGCCACTCAAATTTTTGGAAATAATTTTCGATAGTATTTCGATAGAAAATTGCAGCCAATAATTACCAACTATGGCGATTATGGCACTAATACCGCCCTGCACTTAATTACTACGGCGTCTATTACTACTAGCTCCATATGAAAAATATTTAGGATGCCAATCTGTCGATTGTCGTTTAATCATTATTGCTTATTTAGGTCTATGTGTTTAGTAACCTAGTAGCTTAAGGTATTATAAAGTGAAAACATGTATTAAATAATCGTTATAGATTTATTGAGAATGAAAGCAAGAAGATTTAATAAAAAAATACCGCACATTTCTGAACCGCGCACATTCACTGGTTATTTTAAATGACGAGCAATACCACAATTTGAATAAATCTTCCACGTCTTAAACAATAGAACGCTATAATGGAAGGTTATCTGCTGTAAGACGCTATGATGTTGGTTACACACAAAACAACATCTTCGGGAAAAGTGATTTGAAACAAGAAGCTTTATACCAAAAAAAAAATTATACTACAAATAAAGATAAATAACTGCTCAGCTAAACATATGATAGCTTTTATCAAAATTTCATCAAACATATGAGTTGTTGTGATAAAATGATAATTTTGAAAGGTGTTCTTAAACGACGACATCTTAGGGCTCTTGTAGTCGGAGAAAGGCCAACATTTCATGAAGTAGAACAATGTTTTGAAAGGTATTCTAAAATTATGATACCCTAGGGTACTTAAAGACAAGAAAAGGTCAACATTTCATGATTCTTCTCCATGAAAAGTGTTCTAAAGCGTGTTCTGAAAAGTGATCTAAAGAAATGACACCAACAGATTTGTCTTTTGAAAGCCGTTCCAAAGTTATGAACCCACGAGGTTCTTGAAGACTGAGAAATGCCAAAATTTCATGAAGTAGAACAATGTTGAATAAATCACAATAATCACAGAGGTAGATTATAACTTTTTTTGTAGATGCTCTCAGCGACTTAGTTTGCGGCAAAGAAACCCGATCAAGAATGTGAATTTTATTGTGTTAATAAATTAATTTTGATTTAAATACCAGTGTTCTGAAAAGTTGTAGTTTAATTTGACCTATCCGTGGGTAATTATTAAGTCACCGTAAAATTAATAATTTATGTATTTTTATCATTAGTAAAATTTAGACATATAAAACTGAAGCTAATAATATATGTCTTCTTAAGAAATTATAACAAATAATTTGTGAATATTATGCTTTATATTTTCAGCGACTAGTTTTCTCGAAATATTTTATGTAATTAATGTTAATATATTGCAAGATGTTCTTATAATAATTATCTAAGCTACTTTAAACATATGATAAAGATAAAATCTGTTGTATGCTTACTCATTAATTTTATTAGATGTTAACAGTATTACATAGAATTGCACCCGAACTCCTCCCAGTGTATTACTTGAGAGCGCTATCTCTTTTAAACTTCAAGCAGATACTAAATAAATGCAAAGTTCAAAACTCAAATGTATTTTCATAAAGTTATTTCAACTTATTCAGAAAATACCGATACACACTTCTTATCGTCTGGAGTAATGATTTTTGTAGCCAATGACAATTAAATAAATACAAAACCCAGAAGAAAAAAAATTATAAAAATTAAAAAAAAAAACAACACAAAAAAACTAAATATAATAAAAACATACAGTCATAGTATCTCAAGATACAAAATTTATATTAGAATGAAATAAAATTTCCAACAGCTAAACCAAAAAAAAAGAAACATCTGTTATTTCCAGTGGAAATGTCAACCAATCCCTACAATGCATTCATTAACCAATCAAGAGCCTGCACAATGGAACAATGTTTCGATTCCCAATCGTGCTCTCTGCCAATATGGAATGGGTAGGCGGATTATTTTTATTTTATATACGAGTGTATTATGGTTTTTATTTAATTTTTATACATAGAGTTTGCGTATGAGAAAATTAAAAGTATAATTAAGCAGTATTAGAACCAATGGAAGAAATGATGAATTATTTTCTAAAATATGTTTGACAATATAAAACTATATATTACTTGTAACTAAAATTTATTTTTGTTATACTAAAATGAAAGTACCATTCCATAAATTAAAAACAACATTTTTATTAATAAATATAATACTTTGCCAAATAAAGATCAGTGAAAAACATAATAAAATTTCTGCACATTTTCTCAAATAACAGCAAACACCCTGCGTATGGTCACATATCTCATTTGTGTGTTATTTACTCTAGTGTTTCATTGCACTTTTGGTCCTTAGGTTGGCACAAATCGTACAAACGGGACTTGTACCATTTCGCTTTGTTCCCAAGGTCCCTTAATGCAACAACAATTCTAGTTATAACATGTGTACGTTTGTTATTAACAGTGTGTGCAAACGAGTCCGAGCTGAAAGTAGCTCTCTCTCATACAACAGATACACCAGCCAGCACCAGTGGTGTTGTCATCATAATCATTCATTTGTGTAGAAGCAGCGGTGGTGCTGACAGTCGCAGCACTCGGTGGATTATTCGTAAAGTGTTCTTTCGTCTTGTTAATGTGCGCGCTATTTTCATATACTAACCGTAACCACCACTACCAATAAACTATATTCTGTAGTAGTCTAGTGGTAGGTTAGGATTCCACTCGCTTGCATTTTTATTGTAATCGCGTTTTGTGACTGCGTTCCGCTTTTAAATATTATCTTCTTTTTTTTTTTGAGTGTGTCGTGTGCCTGATGTCCTGTTGCCTGTTTCGTTTCCGTATTATAGTTGAAACCTTTGTTCGCTGGTTGTCGCTTGCCGTTGTAGAATCATAGCAGCATTGCTGTTCAGTGCTATTACGGGATTCAGTAGGGGTTTAACAGCCACTCGGGACGGTAGAATAGCGCTGAAATTTGTTGCGAGACCAATTTTACGAAAATCCCAAATTCTCTACGGTACATTGGGAAAACCAGTTTAAAAATCAAATGTGTGAAGTATCATTGAATAGAAATTGAAATCATTTAATAAAAATACACATTATATATAAAAAAGTTATTTGATTGATGGTAATTAATAAAGGATATTATTAAAATAGTCAACACAATAAAATAATTGAATACAAAGTGATTAATGAAATTAAACTCTGTTATTGTGAAAAATTATAATAAATAATAAACTTTACAAGAAAACTTCATTAAACGACATTAAGCAATTCTGAACAGAAATTTTAAAACTAAGAAAATAATAGATATTGCGCTGCTTTCTTAAATTCGCTTATATAGCACCAAATTTTCTAAGTCGACTTTCAAACTGCGTTCAGACGAGCCTGTGCCGGGTTTCAGCTCGGCTTCACCGTGGCCTACTCTTGAATTAGAATGGGGACGAAAGCTTTATCCATCAGCTGGACCACGATCCGCTGGTGGATTAATGTTTGGCTTGCCACCAACAACCACTGATATGAATCAACCGCGAGGCCCAATGACTTCATTGAAAGAAGAACCTTTAGGTGCAAGAGCGTGGATGCAACCCGTCGTTGATCAGACAAAGTAAGTAAGGTTGTGAAAAACTCTATTTTAAAAGTGTATGAAAGTTTATTTGTTTATTGATCATTATGAAAAATTAATAAAAATATCATTATGAAAATAAACTACAGTTCTTAAAAAATGCAAGATTACAAAAAATTGTATTTAATGGCAACTAATAATCTAATCTAAATGCCATATAAGCTCCTAGTACAGTGATTTGCTTATAGTATAAATTATTCGAATCGTTGAACTTCTTGAAAACTTAATTTAAAAAATTTAACTATAAACTATTGATTGCATATCAGAATATACATTTTAACAATGAACGTGTTTATAAGAAATTTTTCAGTCTTATGGGCAATTTATTGTTCAATCGTTACCAACATTTTTTGTCTCCTTTAGCTCCTTCCTAGTGATATATGTGTCATTTCTTTTATACTACGTTTTTGGTACTATTAGCTCGCAGTTTAAATTATCTATATAAATCTATATATATATAAGTTGTTGCATTAGAGGATGAAAAGGTCTTAAATAGAAATTAAAATAAATCCAATTTTTAATAATATATAAGATGCAATGCGATATTTTAAAAGCGTGATTTCTATGAATCAGTGAATAGTGTTGAGTTTCGCATTTATTTTTTATTTAGTATTATTAATATAATTTCAACGTTAAATTAATATTTCAAAAATATTTATGTTTGGGTGCTTAACACTTGACTAACAATATCCTATATAGAAAATGATATATTCTATATATCTTGAAGTTAATATTTTTATGCAATAACTTAAATAATATAATTATGTCTTGTCATTTTCTACTTATTATATAAAAAATCATGAATTATAAAATTATAATTATGTTATTAATCTTTTATAATTTATAATCTAGTAATTTAACAATAAAAATATTAATATTGAATTGATCAACGACATTTTTATTTTAAATATTTAAAACATACTTACTTAACTAACTACTTTTATACTTCAGTATAGACATTTTTTTTTATTTTTAATTAAAGATTAAAATTAGTAATTAAAACACATTTTAAATTTTTAAAATAAAAATTTAAAATTCAAATAATTTGCTATATCGTTATAATAATATATTTTGATTTTATACTCTTTCGTTTTGATTGTAACAGAAAGATAATGAATTTAATAAAAAAATTATTTAATTAATATATAATTCGGCAAAGAATTTTTATACATTTAAATTAATGTAACCGCTATAGAAAAAAAAATTTTTATAAAAATGTATGTATGTTATTTCATTTTGCATGATAAAAAGCAAATTATTAAAATTAATATCTAATAAAAACAACTATATATATATTTTGAAGGAGTTATAGCAAGTGTTAACTATTTCATAACTAACTATTAATAACTACTACTACTATTAACTACAAACTATTAATAACTAACTAGTTATGTAATAGTTGTATAAAACAGTATTTAAAAACTATAATATATGTAATAAATCTCAGGAACACTCAGTTAAATAAAAAGAACAGTATTAGAAAATTATTGGAATCAACGTGACTTCATAAAAATGCGCTTTAAAAAATCCATTACTTCATAACTGCTCCTTTTTTTAATAATATCTTTCAGAATTATTTTTAATTAAAAAAACGTTATTCTCATTTTAGAAATTCTTTTATTATTAACGTTTTGTTTATAAAATATTGGATTTCATAAATTAATTTCAATAAAATTTAATTTAACCCTGTTTGAGTACGGTTTAGTATGAGTTACACTTGTATATATAATTAGCATTTAAAAGGTTTTTTTAAAAATTTTTTTGCACTTAAAGAAAAAATGTTCAAAATATTAATTAAAAATTAATTTAAATGTGTAAAACATATTTCTGTATAATAATTTTTATTTTAATAACTTTAAAAATATTTGAAATTTATTATAAATTTATCATATATTTTTAAAAATTAATTTAAAAGTGTACAATTTTTTTCTATAATAAATTCACTTTTATAACTTTAAAAACATTTTGAAATTCTTATAAATTTATTATAAAATTAAACAAATACATTATAATTAAATCAAAGGAAAAATAAACAGCCTAACTTTAAAACAACAAAATTTTAAATAAATTCAATTGCTGTTAATAAAAATTCTACGAAAAAAAACTGAAAAATTGCGTAGCCGAAAAACATGAACTTGAAAATTTTATTTTCTAAAGATTTCTCCATTATTTGATTGTACAGTATGTAAACGTTAATATACCCTTGGGTCATAGTATCCACAAACGTGGCGCTTTTCCACAACATGCGGACGCAACTTACACTACCCATTGGGAATATCTAATGCGAATTGTCTCGCAAAAGTCTCCCCAAGCAAAATTTGGCTGTACATCCATAGTAGACTGTTTATTCTATTTTTTCCTTTTTCTGGTATCAGTTAATAAGAATTCATTCATACATTGTGAGTTCAATTTACTTAGCATTTGAGCTATATTTCTTTACGCACAAATTTTTCACTCAAAGTTTAATGCGTAAGCCAGACATCACTCAAGTAAAATTAGAAAAAAAATTGTACAAATAAAGCTTTAAAAATTATATTCTAATGCACAAAGGAAAAACCAGCAACCCCAAGGGGGGAAAGTTCTTTATAATGAGACTAAAAAGAGTATAAGTTTGACGGCCTCATGAATCCCAAGCTGACATCTAGTAAGGATAACATTAACTTCTTACCTTGAAAACTTATCTCACTTATTTGAGAGACTTACTTCATCGCAAAGGGGGATGTTTTCAAATTTCACATTTCCACCATAAAGGGGGCTTTTTGCATGACAAAGCTCTTCTTTAGTTAGTTTTATTTGAGATGTTTTCAGTGTGAAATGTTTTTGTCAACAAAAATTGGTGAAAGTGAAAGTGTGGCTGCGAATGTTTTTGTCAAAATGACGGCAGGATTTTTACAAACAGCGACGGCAAATCACAATGCCAATAATAAGCAAATAAGGTATGGAAATTGCTTAAATAAATAAATAAATTGTGATCCTATACGATAATAACAAACGAAATATTAAAAATTTTATAACAATTAATAACAGATATAACGAAATTACATGTGATAAATGCTATAATTAGTGTACAATAATTTAATTTTGTGCTACATTTTATTTCTTGCATTTGTTAATATATGCAAATACTAAAAGAAATAAAAAAATTGTGCTACAAAATACGTAACATACATTAAGTATTTTAATATCTAAATATCTAATAAGAGAATAACAGACGAAATCCTAAAACTACTTTAAAATTTCCATACCAATTGTGTAGTTACCAGATTTTTGCATTATTAATAAACCGAATGGGTGTAAAAAAATTTTCAATAATTGGTTATAAAATATATTAAGTATTTTAATATCTAAATAGCTAATAAGAGAACAACAGACGAAATCCTAAAACTACTTTAAAATTACCATACCAATTGTGTAGTTACCAGATTCCTGTATTATTAATAAACTAAACTAGTATAAAAAAATTTTTAATAATTGTTTAAAAAATATGTTAAGTATTTTAATATCTAAATATATAATAAGAGAATAACAGACGAAATCCTAAAACTACTTTAAAATTACCATACCAATTGTGTAGTTACCAGATTTTTGCAATATTAATAGACCGAACTAGAAAATAAAAAAATTTAAAAAATTTATTAATTAATACAAATAATATTAAAATATGACGTAATAAAAACTATATGCGATTAAATTAAACTAAATCAATATATAGTTCAATTAAGAAATATAGCTTCACAATTAAAAATATTACGATTAAATTAAACTAAACCAATATATACATAGTTTAATAAAAAATTTAAATTCACAATTAAATATATTACGATTAAATTATTAAAAATATACAGTTTACATGTCGACATTTCATCGCATTCATGAAATGAATTTTTTTTTTTTGCAAACCGTCGCAAACATACTATAAAAAGTATATTTAAATATTCACTGAATAAAATATTAAAAAATATAAAAATACACAATATTTTTTACACATTTTTATAGATTTTAAAATTACATGTATTTGTCTAGATTAGAGAATTGTACGCTTTTTTTAGTCGATTTGCAATAAATGCAACAAAAAAAATTTTTTTTTTTTAAAATATATAATATTATATCAAAGATTATTTTAACAAATAGATGTATTGTAATCATACAACATTTATTAGAATCATGATATATTGATTTTCTTCTCTCTCTTTATCTACCTACAATTTATAAATGTTTAAATACGTAAATATTCCAAGTAATTATGTATTAATAATTTTTTAATATATTCCAAAAATAATAAGCACAACGATTTAAGTGCTTTAATTATTAAGTTATTAACTCACAAAATTGAAACAGTGAATAATTCATATAATGAATTCAATGGTGTGCAGAGGAGGAGAAAATAATAGAAAAGGAATTAATATATAAAAATTTCTATATATATAAAAATTTAATTTGACTAACTTAAAAATCTTCAAAGATTCATAAGAGTTTCTTAAGCATTTTTAGTTATGATACCTTAAATATAGAACTTTTTCAAACAACCAAATTTGTAAAAAATATATTTAAAAATGTTAAAGTTTTTCATATGAGCACTGACTTATTGATTATTAATTTTTATGACAGCTAAATTTACATTTAAATCGATTATAAAATTTGGTGACGATATCACAGATATATGTACATATAATATAACCAAAATGCCAAAATGCTAAACCATGAAGTAAATTCTGTGCAAATGTTCCATCGATCTATAGGAATATTTAGGGGATATTTAGTAATCAAGTGATTTCCAGCTCAGTTCTATAGTAATGATGTATACAATTTAAATAAATTGACTTGGACTTAATTTCAAATGTTCCGTCGATATAACATCTATTGGGACGTCTATAGGTATTTAATAATCAATCGATTGCGAGAATATTTTGGGTTCACTTCTATAAACTCTATTTGTAAAGTTTTGTATGGCTAAGTCAAATACACATGACAGATGAACAGGG